CTACACGATTTCACTGCCTGGTTTCGAGATACGATTCCACTACCGTATGAAGTAACTACAGGCGCACAAAGCCGTTTCGGGAACGTTCCAACCTACCCGTTATCCCCTTGTCATCTCGTTACTGTCGCCTCATCGTGAACCGCCCCCACGAGTAGTTATACCTAGGCAGTACGTGCAAACTTTAAGCTTCAAGTTGAACCCTTCAACATATACTTCGCGTAGTATGCCTGTTTGAAACGATAATTGAATAAACTCCATCCCACTACGCGCATTGAACACGTGATTCTACAGTGAAACCATGCGCTATTTCGCTAAATTTCACGCAGTAAAACTTTCATTGCGTGAAATATCACGAGAGGTCAGTCAATACTTTGCTTCAGCGTTTTATAATGCGCGCTGACGCAAAAGTAACACCGCGGTTCCAAGTTCAGCGACTAAACTGGAACCATGCAGGGCAGTCGGTGGATGCCGTGTACTTTTTTTTCATTAGCTGGATGTGCCCAGAGAGGTATTGGTGTGGGCCCATGAGTTTCTAGTGTTCCCTCCTTCTGTGATTGGGAGAAGATACTTTCGCGTGAATCAGTAGGATGGCCACCCTACTGTAGATCCGGTGCTTAGAATGCATAATATTTACATGTAATGCTCTGCGTAGTTTTGCAACTCCAATGTACAGTATCTTTGTACCAGTCAACATCTCAGAAGGACTCGCCAGTAGCTCAACAGGTCGACCCGGCCAACTTCCATCAACACATTGATGCTTTTGAATAGACAAGTTGGAGACATCAGTTGACTCGCGAATGGTGGCTTCGAGTCGATCGACATGACCATATTAGCACAGAGTTCTGATGACGTTCTTGTATTAACTAAGGCCGAACCTTACGGCGCGTCTCCAGAACACTTTAAATGAAATTATCAGCATGGGCATTGACCTCATCCTAGGTGGATCAAGGTTTTCCCCATACAATGCGGGTGTTCTTATATGATTGTTGGTGCTCATCAGACATAGGCAATTGCGAATCAGTTGGTGACCGCTCTCTCTCCATGCATTGTGCATAGAAATTCTATGATAGAAGTGAAATGATGGCACTATCCAGAGAGCTGAGCAGGGGAGATACAGTTCAACCATAACAGTCGAACACACCTTGCCAACCACTTATGCGCCTGCCTAACGCACAAATTACCAGTTAAGAAAGCAGCTTGGGTCGATGACCACAATGTCTGCTGCTAGCATGCACAGTGCTCGTGAGAAGCCATACAGGTGTTCGCCTGATAGCCCGTTCGCGGCCAATTTATTCGATTTTTTCATCAGAAGGATCCCCTAGCTCGACATCCTCTAGAATAGAAGCCGATCAGATGACATCAACCCATGGTGAACACCCCTCGACAACGCTGAGAGGAAATTTCCTCGATCGCTCTCGTTGGCATGGCGAGGACGTCATCAGCTTAGTCATGGCAAGACTTGGACCTGGCAGTGCCACGCTGACGTGAATCTTCAAGATCAACGGTCCAGTTTCATGGCATGATATGAAATCGGAGGGTTGATCTTGTTGAAGCATCAAGGCGTGCTTCAATATGAGGATGATCAACGAAGCGTAGTAAGCGGTAACAACTCTTCCGGACAAACTCGTAGAGAAATGAGTATAAGTCAAACTCGAAGAGTAAATCAACGATTGAGAGAGTTATTGGAAAGGAACTTCTCTAGTGCCCTACAATCTATCTAAGATTCAGCCATAACACCGTTTTTGGAAGCTGTGCAATCCCCAAGGATACCATTGCTCATCTGCGTGGAGGATTGGAGACCCATTTAGAGTCATTTTCTTAGTTTCTTAACGCCACTCATCAAGTGCATCCGATCTCACGACGAGCCGTTAGTCCTCCACCACGGTCTCACCTGCCATCAGATGAACATTCCCATGAAGACTAGGATAGAATATAGGCCTCTTGCTGAGAAGTCTGTTATACTGCACTCGGAATGAATCAGGGGCTCGGAGTTCGCCGTGACCACGATGTGTATTAAAGTATCTACAGCCAGTATCTACCATCCGAGCCCTAGCCTTCTCCACAGAGCAGAATGGCAGGAACTAGACAGTCCAGACTGGACTGTCCAGTTATTCAGCATCAGGCACAAAGGTGATTTTATGGCAACAGACGTGTGACACGTATACAATGGAGTTTCATGACCCGTTTTACAGCGAAGTGGCATAATACTGCATAAAAAACGCGATATTTACGGTGACATGCAGTAGTCGTGACATATATTTCTCACTAGGGTTTCTCATGTCCGAAACTCCAATGTGTTTTTTAGACTCTCATACAATTCAGTACTCGGAAGCTCCGAACCAGGAGCATACCGAAGCTAATCACTAGCAAAACACTTCCCGAGCAGATCAATTTGAGGTTATCTTGAGGATGAAAAAATCCATTACAAAGTCTCTATCAACACCACGGTTGTCCTTACTGATCAACTCCATAATGCTCCTGGCGAGGCAGGACAGTGACTGGGGTCCTCCAGTGTAGCATAGGTTCCACTCTGTTACTATCAATTGGATAGGGATAGACTGAATAGCTCGGGGGCGGCTCGGGAAGTTGCAGTGGCGGCACCTTCACATTGGATAGTATACTCTTTAGGTACGCTGGAAATAGTAACTTGTTTCTATCGAATAAGTATAATAGCAATAAAGCAAGTCAGGTAGGCTCGCACAGTGGGTTGGGAGAATGCAACGAGATCCTCTACAGGAGACACGATTCTATATGATAAGAGTTGCTCAGAAATGGTCAAACGATGGTAAATACGGATCGGAGGGAATCCTACAGTATGGATCTCAGCGCCCAGGACGTATCTTTCAACCAACTTCCTCAAATTATCAGCTTCTGCAGCAACATGCTGTGCGTGACGTGCCAGTGACATGGTATGAGAGGCTGCCCTTTGAGTTACTGCTTGGGTTACCTATCAACTCAACGAAGGAGGGATACTGTCAGCAAAGCGGCATCTTCACGCGCCACAAAATTTCACTGAGCAACTATTACGTTTAGACGGATTAGGGAACAACATCTACACAGTGAATCGAGATTGTATGTGGTTTAGCAAAGTTACGAGAAATAGTCAGATTTGCATTGAGTTCAGCTCTCATGCGAGTACTCACTGGAGTGCGAGCGGTGACGCTACTATTCAAGCATTCATTTGTATATATAAACTGTCCTGTATAATATAGTGATGCGGTCATTAAAGTAGACGGAATGGCTTGTACTCACCTTGGCGGCTCCAACAGCGGCTTCACCAGCGACGGCCTTTTGTGTCGGGACAAATGCCAGCTCGGGATGCACAAGGATCTTATTATCCTAAAGGGAGCATGCTATACCGCTCCTTCCGTATTTCACGTGAGGAGCGAGGAGGTGCATACTTGCCAGCTAGCTTGAAGAGCTAGATCAGCTCCCGGCATGTTCGAGAAGAGATTTTGTAGGAGTGCATTAGGCCCTACCATTGGAATGATCCATACAGTACGAGAGACTGAGAAACTGCGATAGGTATCCAGCTGAGGCTCATGAATACGTCCAATTATTTGCCACAGCAAGATAACCTCGATCAAAATTGGAAAAAGCGAATGAGCGGACGAAGGAAGGCGAGAGGGAGAAGAACTCCTCAACATCAGTCTGGCGGCCTTTGGTTTCCAAGGTTAAGAGGGGCATTCCCAGTAGAAGGCTTGGGGGAGCCAGCTTGATGATGATGATGATGATCCGAGCTGTCCAACGACTGACTACACAGCCCACCGGCTAAGCCATACCACGATATACTTTAGTTCAATCAATCTCTCTACCCGGGGCAGCTAAGCCATACCACGATATACCCTAGTTCAATCAATCTCTCTACCCGGGGCAGCTAAGCCATACCACGATATACCCTAGTTCAATCAATCTCTCTACCCGGGGCAGCTAAGCCATACCACGATATACCCTAGTTCAATCAATCTCTCTACCCGGGGCAGCTAAGCCATACCACGATATACCCTAGTTCAATCAATCTCTCTACCCGGGGCAGCTAAGCCATACCACGATATACCCTAGCTATACCCTAGTTCAATCAATCTCTCTACCCGGGGCAGCTAAGCCATACCACGATATACCCTAGTTCAATCAATCTCTCTACCCGGGGCAGCTAAGCCATACCACGATATATCCTAGTTCAATCAATCTCTCTACCCGTGGCAGCTAAGCCATACCACGATATACCCTAGCTCAATCAATCTCTCTACCCGTGGCAGCTAAGCCATACCACGATATACCCTAGCTCAATCAATCTCTCTACCCGGGGCAGCTAAGCCATACCACGATATACCCTAGTTCACCCTCTCAGCTTGAGTGAGTCCGCCCCAGCTCTGACCCGTGTAGCACGGTCAGAGCACCAAACGCCAACTACAAGAGCTTGAGAACCATTCGCCAATACTCGCCGATTTCATGTTTCAGTACTTCCGATGTTGGATATTCCCGATAGCGGCTCAATTTATTAACTGGATGATGCGGACGGCAAGGATATCACATTCCCTGATATCCAGACGAGGTCTCTTCGAACTGTCGTTACTGTTACATCCCCCGTTCTCTGAGCAAAGCTGACTGATAGACGCCAAAGCTATCTATGATGGGCTTTTCTCGGTGATTATTGAAGTTTCAACTCAATTCATATCAATTAAAAAGTATCAATATTTGACGTATATAATGCGACAGCATATCCGACTCGTCAGGAAAGACGCAAATAGAAGACTGAACCTCACCTCGAGACGAATACCAGAATGTCACGGACAAAGATCGGAGAGGACACAACACTATACTATTGGGTGATATGGGACTCATACGATGAGGAATACGGTATGGAGAAAATAGTGAGATCCATACTATGGATTCTATAGTGTTACAACGAAACAAGAGATGGGTATGAGTTGCAAAGAGGTGGCATGATTATGCGTCGCATCATACGCGAGCACTTGTTTCGGCACTCCGCACATGAAGCACCTTCAACGACTTCCAGCACAAGGAGAGCTATCAATGGTGTGGCCGAACGTTGGGAAGTGCTCCTCGACGGAGAGGATATTACATGGACCTATAGACTCTAATAGAATCTAGAATCAAATAAAATCATTCTATAGTATGAAATATCTAGTAACTGTGAACCTTGAACCGTACATAGTCGGTATGATAGTGACAAGAACACTCACGGCCAATAGTGACTATACGTTACCTGGTTCGTTGCCGGTTCGTTCGATGTAAGCAAAACCTCTCACTCCCCAATTTTTCCCCCAGGAGTTGAGAATCTTCCAATACCTAGCATATACATGAATAAACACCGAGTGCAACTATGATAATTCAAACTCACCGAACTCCTTTCGAGGAAGTGTTGTAACCCACGATAGTTACCGTATGACTTACGGGAGCGACTCCACAGCTCTTGGCTACGAAGGTGAACGAAGACATGTTTCGCTTCGAGGCGCGTGTGCTCTCACTTGTGATAATCCCTCCCGTGTAATGTCTGAATGACGGGGCACGACCGTACAATCGAACCGCCACAGGTCCGGTAGCCACAGCTTGCATCATTAGAGCCTCGTCGGCTTCCGGTACGACCGAGAAGGAATGAATATCATAAGGCTGATCATAACCAGCACTGAGTTGAGCTGTTGAGGCATACTCACCCTGAGACACTGCTTCTTTGGATCCGTAGTGATGGACTTCTTACAATTGCCGACTTTAGCTTTATAGGGATAGCTTCTTTCTCGCACAATGCCATCGTGCTCCGCATACAGATATGACCCACTCGGGTGAGCCTCTATCGCAGCCGCTGAGGAAAAGCTCAGATCATAGGATGCCAATCCGACTCGTTCGAATAACTCAGTGTTATCTCACTTATTGTTGTAGGCTCCACTACAGTCAACTATCTGTTGAACTGAGAACGGGACCACTTTAGTAATTCCGGTTTGTATCTTGAAACGGCTCTCCATAACGGCTGAAGGAAACACCGACGGTTGTGATAATGAGAAACACCGAAATCCACGAAGTATCCGAAGCCACCAGAAACTTACCGATAGCGCCCATGGCGTAGCAGGAACCACAAGCCTTTTGATTCCTGACTGGAGCCAAAGCGCCAGCGGCTTCCCAATCAATCGACGGAGGAAGATCCATGATGAGATCTTGCGAGTCTGAGGGGTATTTTTGACTTCACTGGAGCCGCTTCAGTGTAACGAGATGAGAGTGACCCTACCAGTCGCATTGGCTGATCGCAAGTTCCCTCTGGATTGTGGATCTCCTGCGCACTGGAACACTCTATCGAATACTTCAGGTGGCAGATCTGCGTGCTCGTTCAGACCGACTTCATGGGTTATATCGTCTACATAATGAGCATATGAGGAATAGAAGCTTCCATCGCTCACCGTTCGCTCTCAATTCCTCTATCTCCCTCATGTTTCCTGCAAAAGCAGCCTTTGCAATCTGGTACTGCTCATCCGTCTCATACTTCTTATTGTATCTTCAAAAATTGTGATAGGCGACGGGAGAGACAGATGCAGATTCAGTAGATGCTGAAGGGAACGGATCGTCTCACCGTGTCATGAAGTCATGGAATGCCTGGTCGATATTCTTGAGTTGACCATAACGATCCGATCCTCCAGCGATAGCTTGAGCCATCAGAATGAAGTGGAGAGTCCCGGCGGTGAACCACATGATGGGAATTTGCTGATCGATTGGAGGCAAGAGGATTCTTTCTGAAGTACGGGGGAATGTATTTCGCTTACGAATTCTTTATTAGAACCCTTCGTGACGAAGGGTTCCACGTCTATGGCCAAGAGGTCATCCTTGCTGGATGTGTCTGGGTACTCGATATCGAGTAGAGCGCCTTTTTCACTCCGATCTGACCTTCGAGTGGTGCCTCCGTCCGAATCCACGCCCCGCTCGGCCTTCTGTGCCCGAGCATTTTCTCCCAAAAGCCGGAGGACCACACGCACCAACGCAACGTTGTGCGCTGCCTCAGCCAATGTCCGGCAACCACGAGCCACTCTATCAGCTAGTGTACTGGTTCCGTGACGTGGAACCCTTCGTCACGCCCCTACGTGCGTTCCTCGTCGGAACACATGCGTGTTGCTATCAGGTTCTGCGCGATTCAGCTGTTCCATTAAGTGATCCGATCAATTAAAATACTTCTTCTGGTTACACGCTTTCACCACCTGGCTCTCTCCGTACAATAACTATGGTGACCATATCGATCCCCTTATGTAGTCTGTCAGAATTCCAGACAATCGGATTGATTGCGTAGCAGGGTGGTCGGTGTGATCTGCGACCCTAAGTGTTCGGGCCTCAGATTTCCCATTTTGCTAGCCTCGCTGCATCGTGTCACGAGTATTGTGTACATTATTGTCTCG